GGAGAAAAGGGCAGAGTATCATGCTACTGCTTCGAGTCAAGGTATTGTTAATGATGATGACATTGAAAACCAAGCTATTAATGACGTTTTGGGTCCTGAAAGATATGGTCGGGTGCGCTGTCAAGGATCATTCGTTACTCCCACCAAATATTTTGGATCCAGTTCATCACAGTACATGTCATCACAGTCTCGATCTTCCCAATTAGAAGTTGGTCGTTTAAAAGAAAAGTTGGCTGAGATGGATCAACAAATGGCTAACTTGAAAGCGGAAAATGAAGCAAGGGAAACAGAGAGAGCAGCAGCGGAAGCAGCTAGAGCAGCAACGGAAGCAGAGAGAGAAGCAGCGGCAGCACAGCGAGAGGCAGCGGCAGAACAGAGAGAAGTAATATATCAGCAGAGATGTAAAGAATTTGAAAAACGACTCAATGATATGATGCTGATGATACAAAAAACGCAACCTCAGAATCCACCATCGTAGCCTCATTTATGTTATGAGCATTATGTTAATGTTACTGAACCGTGTTTAACTTAACCTATATTACGTTAATGAAAACTTTTATTTATTATATTGGATTTGATGTTATTGTTGTTTTGTTTGTTAGATAATGGAACAGGTTGAAAAAACAGATTTGGGGTATTAAGTATAATTTTTAGAATTGTTAAATTCTGTGTTATTTAGCGGCGTTTGTAACAAAATGCTGCAATATACCATACATTTAGCGGCGTTTTTGATAAAAACGCCGCAAAATCTCAATACATATTCTGCGGCGTTTTTAGGAAAACGCCGGTAAAAATAAAAATTTACTGCGGCGTTTTTGAAGAAAACGCCGCTAAACATCAACGACTATTGCGGCGTTTGTCTGCCAAATGCCGTTAAATATCAAAACCTATTGCGGCGTTTTAATGATAAACGCCGCTAAATATCAATACCTTTTGCGGCGTTTGTTGAACAATCGCCGCTATATGTTGTAACCTATTGCGGCGTTTTTTTGTTGAAAAATGCCGTAAACTTTAGCGGCGCTTTTAGCGGCGTTTTTTTTACGTCGTATGTAATTTTAGCGGCGTTTAAAAACGCCGCTAGAAATAAAAAAAAATGCCACAATAAGCCACTTTTGCTGTAGCGCGAATACCAATTGTTACGGAAGACGGCTATCGGATAGAGCAAAATCGCAATTGATAATTTGAGAAAATAAAAATAAAGATAAAAGAGACACAAAATTTACGTGGAAAACCCTAAATAATATAGAGTAAAAACCACGGGCAATGGTAGAAGAATTTCACTATGAGAAAATAGGAATTACAACTTCTCTCGATCTTCCAAGGAGAAAACAATGATAATTCTCTCTTGATAAAAAGAAAAAAACAACTCTCAAGAAACTCTCTAAATTCTCTAGTATTGGAAGAGAACTAGAATGTTTTGGGATGATTTTGAAACTAAATGAGTTAGGGTATTTATAGTTGAAGATTAAGGACTAATCTTGAAAATACCCTAAAATACAATGACTAAATGTGAGATTATACCTTTACCATTTTTTCAACAATTAACACTTCTTTTAACAATTCCACCATTCGGTGGAATTATATAATTTCCCACCCAACTTTCGGTGCAAGTTGACACCGATTTTCAACACTTCTTAAGTAGAAGAGTCTTGTGTAGCCGAGTTAGAGACACAACTTTCTTATGTATATTGGTTGCTACTGAGATGAAGACTGGTGTTGTCTACGGATTGTTGGTGGGCTGGAGGTTGCTTCCTTTTTGTTAGCAGCTTTTGCGTTGAAAGTTGATGTTGCCTTGATGAAGCCCATATAGACACTATAGAAAAATCAATGGAACCAAATTATATAAGTAATCAGGTGATAATTTATAAATTTTCAAAAATAAAATGGAAACTTCCTAGTTTTTTAAGACTTTTATTTCCACGAATTTCTTCCTTGTAGGTTCTGATATAATGGCCAATTTACCACGCATTTTTACTGTCTTTTCTAGGATAAAGGGTATCATCTTGTTCTAAATTTTTCTTTTTTGTTAATCTTCTAGGCGGCCTTCTCAAACGAGGTAGCAATATAGAGGGATATTTATAACTTTTGTAATTTATTTCTAAAGATGATTGTGTAGGAATCTTGAGAGAATTTTTAATGTACATGGAGTTTTAGAATTTATATATTAGACTACCAACATATATGATATTATGTATTTGTATTATTCGTGATCTCTGTGTTTATAGTCAATTATGTGTTTTTCTCATCTATATATATAGACAAGATTAAACCACGTTAAATAGTCTCTTACGCGTGTTTTATTCTATTTTAATATTACCTTGATTATTTTTCTGTTCTTAAAAAAATGGTATCAGAGTTATGATATTGTAACATCCTCCATGCCGGGTTAGTGATTAATTTGTAAAGTTTCAGCATTTGGTGATTTAAGTAAAATGATGGAAGAGTTCAATGACCTATTTGAGTTATTTGGTGTAGGATTGAATTATAAAGAAGGAGGATTTGAAGGACAAAATGGTCTTTTTATAGCAATATAATTTTGAGGTTAGTATTATATTAAGCATGTGGAAGAGTAGGAAATTAAAACAAGCTTCCAGAGTCATCTTCTTCTTTCTTCTTCTTCATACGTGAGACCCCAAGCTAAGGTAAGATTTTCTTGTTAGTGAATTTCTTGATGAATTTATGGTTGAGTCATGACTATTAGGCAATAGTTAAGCTTAAAGGAGGTTTAAATTGTTTTAAAACCTCAAGAGGAGAAGTATATGAAGAATTAAAGAAAGGAAGTAGAAAAGTGAAATCTTATATTAGGGTTCATAATAAGAATTAGAAGTGAGATTTGACTTGTCATCAAGTTAATTAAGGGATAGGAAGTGTTAGAATAAGAATTTGAACATGTTGCAAAACTAGTATAATTTTTGCAATTACATAGGAATGATTAGATTTGGAGTTAAAGAAGTGATTATGGAATAGAAATATGTTTAAGTATGTGTATTAAAGTTAGGAGTATTAAAGGAAGTGAAATAGGAAGGTTTGAGCTGAAATAAGGTGATTTTCGAGCTTAAAATGGGATTTCTGGGCTAGGGGAATCGGTACCCATTCAAGGGGAATCGATCCCCCCTCAAACGAATATGAATTTCCAGAATGCTAGAGGGGAATCGATACCCCCAGGGGGGGAACCGATTCCCCCATAATGAAAAAAAAAAGAAAGAATAGAGACTAAACTATTAATCCTTTAAATTGGTAGGCTATTAGAGGTTAATTTCAAGACTTAGGCATCTAATAATCACCTTGAAAATTTTGCTTATGTAGATATTGAGCCTAATCGAGTTCCGGAACCATCGACAAGTAGGATCAATCGAGGGAAAAACAAAGAAATCTAGGCGAGTGCATATGCATAGCATGAATATGTATTTTATTCAGTTCTAGACTTGTGATAAGTCTAGATTCAATATTTTGATACATGATCGTAGTTCATATGATGATATATGACATGAATCCATACCATATGCATTATGGGACATGAATATGAAAGAAAAGTTATATGAGTTATATGATAAAGGTATGGAAATAATATGTCTACGTGATATGAATTAGATAAATTGTGAAAGCCCATGTTATGTAAATGAGAACTATAGGTATAGTTGGCATGCCAAGGGTAGAGGGTCTATGTGGTCCTTCGGGATATATATGTATTCTTTGGAACATGTGTGAGGTCTGGTGAGACACATACTTGATCCTTGGTATATGTATATGATTCTTAAGGAATGATATGTGGTCCTTCGGGACATATATGTATTCTTTGGAACATGTGTGAGGTCTGGTGAGACATATACTTGATCCTTGGTATATGTATATGATTCTTAAGGAATGATATGTGGTCCTTCGGGACATATATGTATTCTTTGGAACATGTGTGAAGTCTGGTGAGACACATACTTGATCCTTGGCATATGTATATGATTCTTAAGGAATGATATGTGGTCCTTATGGACATTATTATATGGCACTACGGTGCAATTCTACGCGGTACTCCGGTGCAATTCTACGTGGCACTTAGGTGCAATTATATGAGCTGTGGTGACAGCATAGTGCACAACCTCACAATACTCACATACATTAGGTTCTCTGTATGGTACCATTGGCTAATGAACTTACTAAGGAGAACTTATGAATGTGAATTTGATAAGTATATGTGTAAGAAACATGGTTTTGGTTATTGCATTATTTACATACATCTTATTATTGCAACTCATCTCATTTTTGGCAATTACTTTATGTTTATTGATATTATTATATTATTGTCTCACTAAGTCGATGACTTAGCGTGTGAGTGTTTCACACGTAGGATCCGATAAAGTAGACGATCGAGGTTAAGCAGCTGGACAACATTACTCCTGCAATTATCAAATCAGAAGCAACTTAATCAGTAGGTCATTTTGTTATGAAAATGGATGTTGGCATGTAATTAAAAAGTTAAGTTGTGTATGCTCTGAATATTTTGGTAAACTTATAGTACCATATGTATATTATTGTATTTTTCGTAATATAAGTTCAAGTATTTTACTATTATTTGTAATGAGTTGTGTTTTAAAAGTCAATGTAATATCTCTGACTCGTATCTGGGTTGGGATACGGGTTGAGGGTGTTACAGATATGAAGTTTTGAAATAATTTATTACTATAGATTTTGTTAACAATTTTGGATAATGATGGCAATTTAATCCAGATTCGATGGTTCTGACCAATGGTCGAGATTATAGATCTCATTCTTCTTCAAGAAAAAGTCGGACGAGACGAGTACAATTGCAGACATTGCTTAGAGTGGAAACAGTTTGGAAAGCGACAGAGTCGGTGCTGAATTCCATATTGAAATGGGACTCACCTATTCTGCTGAATCACTAAGTGAGGCGATTAACATGAGTAAAGTTGTTGCCAAGCTTTGTTCCATCAGGGACAAGCTTCATATGAATGAATTTAACTAGCTTGTTCAAACGATATGGAGAAGTAAAAGATATTTGCTTGTTTTCTTAAGGTGCCATAGGGATGGAAAGTCTGCATCATTTATTAACGAATGCAGATTCAGCCAAGTCAATGGAACGACCAAAGCTAGCCGCTTTGATTTCGCATTCACAGTGCTCGGCATTGGGATCACTATCTGTCACTATACCAGCACCAGCTTGAAGATACACTACCCATTCTCGGCGGTGGCGGTCAGCATCTTTGTATGAGTACATTGTGTCATAACGGGTTCCTGTAGTTAAAACCATGGTCCTGAGAGCCAATGCAATATCCATATCACCGTCGAACGAAATGCCCCCGAAACCTCCACTGTAAGGCCCTCGTCTCGACACCTCTAACTCGTCAATTAGCTCCATGGCCTTCACCTATTTATGGTGGCGGGACCATAATCTCAGAATTAAGGCAAGCTCCTAAATATTCATTCTACATTTGAGAAAAAGGGATTTTCTTAAGACATGTAAATGATAAGCATTGAACCTTTGGTGCTCCGCTAACGTTTCCCCACGGAAGTGCAGCACGGAGGGCGTCCCAACTAGTGAGATGATCTTGCAACTCACCAGTAACCTGCATCATTTAAGTTTCGAGAAGGTAAATGATGATGTGCATGTCCCTACTCCCTACAGAGTTATGATTCTTACTGTGGAGCTTATGTGCATCACATGCGAATATCGTTCGACGGTCATCAGCTTCTCCACCTTTACAGAACCATATTTGGAGACCTAAGCAGAAGAAACATGGAAGTTTTAAATGAAACTACAAAGTTCATTTCTTTGGAATGAAAAACTAGACTATAAACCTTTCCCATGTCGTTTCGTGCCAAATCAACAAGCATGATATGTTCTGCACGTTCCTTTTCATCACTCAGCAGTTTCTTTTCAGCTATGTCATCTTCCGCTAGTGTTTTTCCTCTCCTCGCTGTTCCGGCCAATGGCCTATTTACAATCTTATTCTATATATGGCAGTAACAAAATTTGAGATCTTAGAACAGCCAACTGAAGTGTTTCATGACATCAGCTTAGAGAAGGACAAAACATGAAGTTTAATAGTATACCTTTTTTATCCTGGTAAGAATTTCAGGACTTGAAGCAACTAGAATACCTCCTCTAGACTGAAAGGGCATATCAGATTATATAATTCAAGAAACATAACTGTTGATTCACAACTAAAGAATTAATGAACAAGAAACTAACTTGCAAGTAAGCCATATAAGGACTTGGATTAACAACTCTCAAAGCTCTATATATTTCGAACAGATCGGCAAACGTTCGCCGTTCGAAACGTTGACTTAATACAATCCGGAGAATATCCCCTGCTAGAATATGCCCTTTTGCCTTTAGTACAGCCTTCTTATACTCTTCCCTTTCCATATTTGACTTCATTAAAGAAGGGCCGAAGCCATGTGTGTGCAAATCTATGGAGCCTGGAGATAGCTTTGGGCTAAGAATGAAATCCGAGTGTCATAATAAATTAGAACACATAAAATTTAACCGAAACTAGTACTACTTAATAGTTTCTTACAGATCATCACCCTGTAGTCTAGCCACCAACTTCTCGAGGTGTTTAACTCCTTCGTTATAAGCTTTTTCGACAGAGGGGTGTCGGTCTAGCCTCACCCAGTGAATTACATATGCTTTCTGCAGATAAAAGGAACAGTCGATATTACTCCACCAGGATGTATACGTTTACTGCAGAGTTGATTTATAAACTAAAATCCTGAACTGTTTATTGTTGATGGAGTAAACATATACGTTTTCCACATGATCAAATACCACGACGTCATTGTATAGCCCTAGATGTATGTCTGGGAGGTTTCTGTCATCATGTGGTGCCTTTGAAAAGGGGAGTTTTTTCTTCTCCACATAGCGAACCGTATCGTAGGAGAAATAACCAAACCACCCACCTACACGTCATTGAAATTTTAGCACAATTGTAGAAAAAGACAAGTCACACAGTTCAATACCAGAAAGCTTTATAATTTTTAGCCAAAAGCAGAACTTATAGTTCATTTGTGCATGGATATGCAGGTACTCTATAGTAACCAACCAGTCAATTTTGAAGAACTCAAATCCCAAGATTTTCTAAATTCAACCATTGATCATTGATAATGCCAAAATCTTCTGGGAAACATATGGCATACACATCAAATAGCATGCTATGGCCATATAATCTCCATGAAAATCATAAAAAACCATGCATATGCTCTTCTGCAATGTATGATCATTTTTGTCATTATTGCTAAATATTAACTTCAGGTATATGTCGTTATTACTGAAGACGGCTATCGGATTGAGCAAAATCGTAATTGATAATTTGAGAAAATAAAAATAAAGATAAAAGGACACAAAATTTACGTGGAAAACCCCTAAATAATATAGGGTAAAAACCACAGGCAACGATAGAAGAATTTCACTATAAGAAAATAGGAATTACAACTTCGCTCGATATACGAAGGAGAAAACAATGATAATTCTCTCTTGATAAAAAGGAGAAAGCGACTCTCAAGAAACTCTCTAGATTCTCTAGTATTGGAAGAAAGCTAGAATTCTTTGGGATGATTTTGAAGCTAAATGGGTTAGGGTATTTATAGTTGAAGCTTAAGGACTAATCTTGAAAATACTCTAAAGTACAAAGACTAAATGTGAGATTGTACCTTTACCATTTTTTCAACAATTAACACTTATATTGACAATTCCACCATTCGGTGGAATTATATAATTTTTTCCCCAACTTTCGGTGCAAGTTGACACCGATTTCCAACAATCTCCTACTTGAAGATTTGATTGAAACAATCATATCTTCACACCATTCCTTTTACCTTGTACCTTCATGTTGCTTTCGTCTCTGACAGGCCACAAGAGGATCGACGCCAGGTAAACTTATCAGCGTTGATCGCCTTCGTTATGAAATATGTTATGCTGTCTTTGGTATGGATCTTCTGCATATCTACCGTCCCTTCTTCCACCTTTTCACGAATGAAATGGTATTGAACTCGTATATGCTTTGTCCTTATATGAAATTTTGGATTCCTTGCTAGATGCAAAGTGCTTTGACTATCACAAAACAGAGAGACATACTCTTGATTGTGCTCAGGCTCCTCCAATAGCATCTTCAACCAAATTGCTTCTTTACTGGCTTGTGTAGCTGCTACATATTCTGCCTCTGTTGTAGACGTAGCCACAACTGATTGCAATTTTGAAACCCAGCTTACAGCTCCACCAGTAACTTTGAACACGTAGATTTGCTTTTATCCAAATCCCCTGCATAGTCAGAATCTACATACCCATTGATTAATAAGTTTGATCCTCCGTAACATAATGCAACATTTGAGGTCCCTTTGATGTATCTCATGATCCTCTTTACTGTATTCCAATGCTCTTTGCATGGATTCACCATGTACTTACTAACCACTCCCACTGCTTGTGTAATGTCTGGTCTTGTGCATATCATAGCGAACATTAAACTTCCCACTGCTAATGCATACGGTACTCGAGACATCTCCATCATCTCTTCTTCACTGCGACTCATACTGGAGGATAATTTGAAGTTAATAGGAAGAGGGGTAGAAATTGACTTACAATCTTGCATGTTGAATCGTGACAAGATCTTCTTTAAGTAATTCTTTTGTGAAAGCCAAATCTTCTTATTACTTCTGTCTCGATGAATTTGCATCCCTAGAATCTTGTTTGCTGATCCCAAGTCCTTCATTTCAAATTCCCTAGGCAGTTGTGCCTTCAATTCTTCAATATGATCTTTGTTGGGTCCTGCAACCAATATGTCATCCACATACAACAACAATATAACAAAATCGTTATCAGCAGACCTCTTGAAATAATCACAAAGGTCTGCATTAAGTCTGTTGTATCCACGACACACAATGAAGGAATCAAATCTCTTATACCAACACCTCGGCGCCTGCTTTAGATCGTACAGAGATTTGGTCAACCTGTAAACCAAGTTCTTCTTTTCTTTTTCTTAAAAGCCTTCAGGCTGGAGCATGTAAATTTCTTTTTCAAGATTTCCATGAAGAAAAGTTGTTTTAACATCTAGCTACTCTAGATGTAAGTTCAATGTAGCACACATTATCAAAACTACTCGAACTCTTATTAGTCGAACTACAGGAGAAAAGATTTCATTGAAATCAATACCTTTTTTTAGCATATCCTTTGACCACCAGTCTTGCACAATACCTCTCAACTTGATCGTCACCATTTCGCTTGATTTTGAAGATTCATTTGTTACCAATTGGCTTCATTCTTTGTGGTAGTGGCACAAGGCCTCATGTATTATTTTTATGAAGGGCTTTAATTTCTTCTTGCATCGCCATCATCCACAGTGAAGCATCTGAGCTATTTATTGCCTTCTGATATGTTGATGGCTTACCGTCCTATGTTAAAAGGCAGTATGCAATATTTCATTCTATAACATAATCTGAGTGTCAATTGGGAATTCTTCTCACACGATCTGATTGACGAGTTATTGGAGCTTCAGAATTCTCTGGTTCTTGTTCATCATGTGCTGGCTCTGCTACAGAAGAATCTCCTTGTTCAGACTCCTTTTTCACATGTATCTGAGTAGTCTCTGACTTTTTAGCGCTATCATCGTCTTCTTTTCTTTGTAGTTTATCTTATACAAAGATAACATCCCTGCTAATAATCAATTTACGGACAGTGGGATCCCACAAGTGATACCCCTTTACACCATTAGCATACCCCAAGAATTTGCATTTCCTGGATTTTGGATCCAGCTTTGAAATTTCTTGGGAGTTGTACATCACCTACACAATACTTCCAAATACATGGAGGTTTGAATAATCAACTGGTTTACCAGTCCACATCTCCATTGGTGTCTTTAGCTCTATTGCAGTTGATGGAGCTCAATTCACCAAATAACAAGCGATATTGACTGTTTCTGCCCAGAACGATTTTACTATGCCTGCATCCCTAAACATTGCTCTTGTTCTTTCTAACAATGTTCTGTTCATCCGCTCTACCACTCCATTTTGTTGAGGAGTGTTCGCCACTGTGAACTGTCTTTTGATGTATTATTTCCTGCAAAAGTCATCAAATTCTTCACTTGTGTATTCTCCTCCATTATCTGTTCTGAAACACTTGATCTTATTTCCAGAATCAAGTTCCACCCGCGCTTTGAAGTTTTTTAAAGTGAAAAACACATCTGACTTCTTCTTAATAGGGTACATACAACATCTCCTGGAGTATTCATCAATAAATGAGACAAAGTATTTTGCTCCGCCTAGGGATGTAACTGGTGCTTGCCATACGTCAGAGTGAACCAATTCTAGAACACTTTTTCCTCTAGAATTTGACGTGTTGAATTTCAATCGGTGTTGCTTACTTGTTACTCAATGCTCACACAAAGTAAGTGATACCTTTGTTAAGCCTGGAAGTAGCTTTTGCTCCACAAGTACTTTCATTCCTTGTTCTGACATGTGTCCAAGTTTCTGATGCCATAACATTGCAGAATATGAACTACATGAGACAACAGAGGCTTCTGTTTCTAGCAAAGTCTCTCCCTTCAGCATGTACAAGTTTGCTTCTATTTTTTCGCCTTTTATCACCACAAATACTCTACAAAACACCTTCATGATTCCTTTCCGTGTTTCAATCTTACTTGTATTATTATCCAACAATCCGTAAGATAATAAATTTTTCTTCAAGCCTTTCACGTGTCGTACATCTCGAACAATTTTGATTGTTCCATCATACATCTTCAATTTGATGGTTCCTACGCCAACGATCTCTAAGGCATGATCATTGCAACTATACACAGATCCTCCTGAGACATGTTCATAATGATGGAACCATTCTCTTCTTGAGGTCATGTGATATGTTACTCCCGAACAATGAGCCATATATCTGTAAATCTTTTTCTGTCTTCCACGGTGGTTGACGCTTCACAATATAGAGCATCTCCATCATCTGAAGTGTTTGCGGTATTTCCTTGTGGATTGGAGTTTTTATTTAGACTCCAATAATCCTTCTTCAAGTGACCATTCTTTCCACAGTTGTAACACTTTAAATTCTTCTTGCTCCTCGACTTCGATCTACCATGTTTGTGACTGCTGTTTTGGTCACGTTATGTTGATCTCTATCTCATCGTTGTCAACGCTTCTGCTTGTTGTAGATTTACTTGTCTGTCTTCCTTATTCTTGTGCCGATTTTCTTCTCGTAGAACAGCAGCTGCAACGTCATCGAAGACTAGACTAGAGACATTATTGTTTGTCAAGTTGATGATGAGTTGATCATACGAATCCGGTAGACTTTGAAGTAGAAGTTCAACACGTTATTGTTCTCTTATTTTACAGCTTAAGGATGTAAGTTGAGAAAATAAAGTGTTCAGTGTATTTAAGTGCTCCGTCACTAAAGTAGATTCTGACATACGTAGAGTGTACAATTTTCTCTTAAGGAAAATTTTATTGTGCAGCGACGTGACCTCGTACAGTTTGGTGAGATGATCCTATATCTCCTTAGTTGTCTTCTTCTCCTCGATGCTTGATAATACTTCATCTGTTAATGCTAGATGAAAGTTTGCTATAGCATTCTCGTCCATTTTGATCCATTTGTTGTCATCTGTGAAATCTACCGGCCTTTCATTGATAGCTGCTAGACAACCATCTTTCCTCATGATGGCTTTTATCTTCAATTTTCACAATGAGAAATTTTTCCCATTGAACTTTTCAATGTCAAATTTCGTTGCCATAGGTTATATTACGGATAGCTCCCACTATTTCACTATCGTGAATAGTTCTCTAGAACTTTCAAAGAATGGGTAATATCTTCTTACTTTCTTATGTTAGAGGATCCACCTTTTGGTGGCAACTACAAAGATAATAAGTAGATATTACACACTCTAATCTGGCTCGAATACCAATTGTTACGGAAGACGGCTATCGGATAGAGCAAAATCGCAACTGATAATTTGAGAAAATAAAAATAAAGATAAAAGAGACACAAACCCTAAATAATATAGGGTAAAAACCACGGGCAATGGTAGAAGAATTTCACTATGAGAAAATAGGAATTACAACTTCTCTCGATCTTCCAAGGAGAAAACAATGATAATTCTCTCTTGATA